CGAGAACCTGCTGAAACCCGGGAGGCAAGGTTTGCAGTGACTAGAACTGCTTGAGCCCAGGAGTTCGAGACCAGCTTGGGCAACATGGCGAAACCCCATCTCTGCAAAAAATACAAAAAAGTTAGCTGGGCATGTTAGTGCATGCCAGTCCCAGCTACTTGGGAGGCTGAGGTTGCAGTGAGCCAAGATCGTGCCACTACACTCCAGCCTGGGTGACAGAGTGAGTTCCTGTCTCAAAGAAAAAAAATAAATAATTTGTGGTGTTCTAAGCCATTTTGCGTTGATTTGTTACAGCAGGAATAGGAAACTAATGTGGCTATCAAATGTAATTTTCCCATCTGCTCGGGAGGTGTCCACCTCATAGTGCTGAGTTTGTGTATGAAATGATATTGCACAACAGCAAATGTAGATCAGAGGTTCTCAATTCCAGAAACTTAAACATGGGGATGTCTGGGGTGAGGCATTTTTTAAAAAGCTCTCTAGGATTGTGATTATATTCCGCAAGCAAGGCTTAAAACTACTCATATGGATGGGCAAATGAGAGGAACTGGTTAAGTTGATCTCTAAGAGTTAAACTGATAAATTCTACATACAGTGGTTAAGGTGAGGTCAGATCTTTCTGGTTTTGTTTTTGTTTTTGTTTTTTTGAGATGGAGTTTTGCTCTGTTGCCTGGACTGGAGAGCAGTGGCGTGATCTCGGCTCACTACAACCTCTGCCTCCCAGGTTCAAGTGATTCTCCGGCTTCAGCCTTCTGAGTAGCTGGGATTACAGGTGCCCGTCACCATGCCTGGCTAATTTTTTTGTATTTTTAGTAGAGAGGGGGTTTCACTGTGTTGGCCAGGCTGGTTCTGAACTCCTGACCTCAAGTGGTCTGCCCGCCTCAGCCTCCCAAAATGCTGGGATTACAAGCGTGAGCCACCGTACCCGGCCAAGGTCAGATCCTTTAAAATAGCCCATCCTAAAGAGTGAAGAAATCAGTGGCTGAAAAAATGAAATGATTCTGTTGCATCAGGATGATCAGGGCACAATCTCAGGAAGTTGGAAGTCACACTGGGAAAATCTACAAAAGTAGTCATGGATGGAACCAGCTTTATTGTCATTCTAATCACTATACCAGGGCAGTGAATTACTCTGATGTAAATATGATGTATTTTTACTACACTAGAAATAAAGTGACCTGTAGGAACCTTAGTAAAAAGAAGAATAAGAACAAATTAGGGAACATTTGAGGTGGCAATCCATACACAGAAACTCTGAACCAAAGAAAAACTTATTGGGATATCTGAGGACAAGGAAGATAGTTCTGTATGCCAGCTAACCAGGAGAATAATCATCTCTAATCCCCCTCTCTGTGCACCTTGAGATGAGATGCCAGCCCAAGACTGAACAAATATTAAGAAGTCCAAGTAATTTACCGGACCTAAGCAAGAACACTGCCTTCTTTGGATATCTTGTTTTCTTGTGTACCTTGCTGCATAGTCTGCTTTCAGCTAAAATAAATAAATCAGAGCGAAATGGAAAACCTTTTGACCAAACACAGAAAGTACATCAAATACTGACATCAGTACTGCATGATTGGCTTGCTAGGGCTGTAATAAAATAGCACAGACTGGGTTACTTAAACAGCAAATACCTATTTCCTCTCAATTGTGGAGGCTGGAAGTCCAATATCGAGGTGCCGGCAGGGTTGGTATCCTCTGAGGACTCTCTCCTTGGCTTGCAGATGGCCACACTCTTGCTGTGTCTTCACATGGTCGGCCCACTGTGTACGTACACTCCTGGTGTCTTTGGGTGTGTTCAAATATCCTCTTCTTTTACTTATTTCTTTAATCTTTTTTTGAGATAAGGTCTTATTCTGTCACCCAGGCTGGAGCACAGTGGCATGATCATAGCTCACTGCAACCTCAAACTCCTAGGTTCAAGCGATCCTCCCACCTCAGCCTCCCAAGTAGCTGGGACTATAAGCACGTGCCACCACACCTGGCTAATTTTTTTTTTTCTTTTTTGAGATGGAGTTTTGCTTTTGTTGCCCAGGCTGGAGTGCAATGGCGTGATCTCCGCTCACTGCAACCTCCACCTCCCAGGTTCAAGCGATTCTCCTGCCTCAGCCTCCCAAGTAGCTGGGATTACAGGCGCCTGCTACCATGCCTGGCTAATTTTTGTATTTTTTAGTAGAGATGGAGTTCCACCATGTTGGCCAGGCTGGTCTTGAACTCCTGACCTCGTGATCCACCCAACCTCAGCCTCCCAAAGTGCTGGGATTACAGGCATGAGCCACATTACCTGCCTGAATTTCCTCACAGGACATCAGTCAGATTGAATTAAGGCTCCTAATGTCCTCATTTCAACTTAATTTCCTCTGATAAGGTTCTATCTCTAAATAGACTCCCATTCTGAAGTACTGTAGGTTACGGCTTCAACATGAATTTGAGGCAACACAATTCAGCCCATAACAGGCACCTCATCCCTCAGCTGTCAGAAAATAAGAGCAGATGCTCATGCTCCCTCTGTTTTTCTGCAAAAGCATTCTCCAGTAGTCTCTGGCACATAGAAAAATGTTCACTAAACACTAATTGTATGAATGAATAAATGAGTAAATGAATGTGTGAATGGATTATATCATAAGTGTAATAGGTAGCCGGGCGCAGTGGCTCACGCCTGTAATCCCAGCACTTTGGGAGGCGGAGGCAGGTGGATCACCTGAGGTTGGGAGTTCGAGACCAGCCTGACCAACATGGAGAAACCCCGTCTCCACTAAAAATACAAAATTGGCCGGGCGTGGTGGCACATGCCTATAATCCCAGCTACTAGAGAGGCTGAGGCAAGAGAATCGCTTGAACCCGGGAGGCAGAGGTTGCGGTGAGCCGAGATCGTGCCATTGCACTCCAGCCTGGGTGACAAGAGTGAAACTCCGTCTCAAAAAACAAGAAACAGTGTTTTGGAAAAAGTGAGAGACTGGGAGAGAGCTAGCGTTAAACAGTGTGAAAGTCAAAGTCACGCATACCCAAACCACCTTCCCACTTCCGCTGCCACGTTCTGTAAAACCTCATGTTCAGCCAGTTTCCTCTCCACCTATGTCTCTGGTATTTCCCTTGAAAACTGTTCCCACATGACCTAGTGGCCTGTCATCTTAATCAACTCGGCATACATTGAACACCCCCCGGCAGATATCCCAGAGGATTCCTTCATTTTGGCCATCCCTATGTCCAATTGCCATAGAACTTCCA